GAATAAAAAGCAAAATTGTATGGTCATTCTAATTATGTAGAATCAGTATGCTTCTCTCCTGATGGTACCACTTTAGCATCTGGTAGTTAGGATGAGTCTATCTGTATATGGGATGTTAAGACAGGATAATAAATAGCTAGATTGTATGGTCGTACTAGTAATATCTACTCGGTATGCTTCTTTCCTGATAATTGTACCTTAGCATAAGGCAGTGCAGATAAATCTATCCATTTATGGAATGTGAAAACAGGATAATAAAAAGCAAAATTGGATGGTCATAGCGATTATGTAAGATCGGTCTGTATCTCTCCGGATGGTACTATTTTAGCATCTGGAAGCGATGATAAATCAATCCGTTTATGGGATGTTAAAAGAAGTTAGTAAAAAGCCAAACTGGATGGTCATACTAGTTATGTCTTCTCAGTCTGTTTCTCTCCTGATGGCTCAACTTTAGCATCTGGTAGTGGAGATAAGTCTATCATTTTATGGGATGTTAAAACAGGATAATAAAAAGCCAAAATGGATGGTCATATTAGTTATGTCTACTCAGTCTGTTTCTCTCCTGATGGTTCTACTTTAGCATCTGGTAGTAAAGATAAGTCTATTCGTTTATGGGAAGTTAAGACAGGATAATAATAATCCAATTTGGATGATCATATTGATGCTGACAGACCAGTCTATATGTCTATTGATGGTTCTACTTTAGCTTCTAATAGTAGAGATAAATCTATCAGTTTATGGGATATTAAGACGGGATAATAAATTGAACCATCGGAGAAACGTTACAAAGAAGTATTAGCATAATTTAAAACTCCTCTTTGTTTAAACAATCCTCTTCCAGAAAGTGGTATATATTTTGATTATTATTTAGTAAACACTCATATTTCTATTCTAATTATATCCAAATAGATTATATTTTAAGCATAAAGAGCTTTAATTCTAAAAGGATAGTTTCAGAATCAATCAGGAATAGATTTAAAATTATTATTTAAAAAAAAAGGAAGTTGCTTCTTGGAAAATTAATCGTATAATTGATTATTAACGAGAGGATACAATAAATATATAAATAGTATTTATTAAAAGATAAAGAATAATTAAAAATAAAATGCTCTAAAATTTTAACATAAATTTTCGTTTCATCTTAAGTCGATAAAATATAAATCGAAATACTTATTATAACCACTAGATAGTTAAGTTAAATTTCTTAAATAAGCTTATCCTTAGATTAAATTAATCCTTTGAATTCTTTTTGCAGGTTGAAATATTTTAAATTTATAACATTAGAGATTAGAAATCAATTATACTAGTAATAAAGTTTAGATGATTTAAAATTCTTCTTTGATTCAAGAATTTAAATTCCTTGAGTGGCTTTGAGTGTGAGATACCAATTTTCGTTTACTTTTTTTATGCATTTCTAATATTGTTCAATTACTTTTTATTTTAAATAAGTATTTATTAAAATTTAATTATCACTTTATTTTCTACATATTATTTAAGTCAGAAAGTAATTCAATTTTCTGATTGAGTTAATCATTTAGATTCTGTAACTATGTACTTTAGGGGATCAAATTAAATGGCTATCAACATTATCAATTTGCGAGGAATGGAATTTTTCGATTCAACAAATACAATTATTTTATTGTACTCATTTAGATTATTTCATCTTCTCAAGAGTTGATATTACTACTATTATTTAAGTTTTGGATTTAATTTAAAATTAGTTATTATTAATATTTATATCATATAGCAATAAGATCCTAATTCCTCTTAATTAAAATTGATTAAAGGCAGGGGGAGTATATCAAAATAAATTCTTCATCATTAAAAATTTATCTTAATCAATTATGAAATTGTAAAATTGAAATTTTAAAGTGTTACAAACACTTTTCTTAATCCCTTCAATCAAAAGAAGTTGTCATGAAATTTTAAAGAAGGCCAAAGTAA